TCATCATCATCTTTATCTTTATCATCATCATCATCATTGCTCAGATTAAACGGATAATTATCGCGGTAGTAAGGAACGAGAAAAAGACAGCGAGTCGTCCGCGCTTCGAAAAATATGTGATACTGTATATAGAAAAATATGTTCTTATATAATATATAATTGCAAATTATAATCATAACGAACGACAAAAAGCGTAAAGAAACAAAAATGGCGCTCAGGAGGAACTCTGGGTGTGTGCGTGTGTATTATTTTTGTGTCTCTATGTTTGTATATATACGTCGTGTTGTGTGATTTGTGTTTTCTTCTGTGCGTTATATTTTGTACATCATGTTTTTCTGCATATGCGCATTTGTGCGTATGCATTTAATAGTATTCGTTCGCTCGTTTGATTGTTTTTTTTTTTGTGTGTTGTGCAAAATACGAAAAAAGAGACAAAAAAGGATTAACTTCGAAATGATATGAAATAAGAGAGAACAGAAAAGAAAAAAAACAAACTATTTCCTTATTTCTTATTTGTCTTTCTCATTTTGCAATCAATGAATATCGCATCATTCGATACTTGGTCGAGGATATTACAGTGAAAATTACTATTTAACACTCTGACTGCTGCGCGTGTTTACAGTGAAATTTTCTTCCAAGCTACGCGTACCGCCGTACGAAGCGTATTCTGCTGGGTATTCCCACCGATATTTTAAATGTTGGAAGAAAATATTAGAAGATTTAGGGTATTATTATCTGCAAAATTACTAGGGTTGACTGAAAATACAACAAATCCTTGTCTTTGTCGAAGTCAGCATAATATCGCCTTTCGGAAAAATGATTCCGGAGGAAGCATTAGACGCGTATGCAAACAATGTTATGAAGATAAAAGTCGACGAATGGGCCGATCAAAGACACAAGAAAATTTAAAGAAAACAACTTATTGTCCAAGTTGTCCCGACCAACCCCAGCTTTGTATAGAATATTTTACAGTTTGACATCCCACATAATTTTCTTAATAAACCATTATCGTATTACTTCTATGAAAATAGTTTATATTAATGAATATATTATTATAAATTTAAGTTTATATTAATAAATATAGTTCATATTAATTAATATTCAATAGTTTTGTTACTTCCTTTGCGAAATATCTTTTCAAACACATACGAATATCTTTCACAAGTAGTCAAATAAGAGACACCCCAATACGAGTGACGCGGCCCGATCAGAAACTTTACTGTTACCCGAATATGGGTGGCGTGGCAATCAGAGTGTTAAACACAATAATATTCCGTCTCTATCATCCCTTTTCGAAGAGCACGATCAAGAGAAAATGATTGAAATCAGTTTTTAATTCATTATATAATTACATTTATTATAATCCTCGACCATGCATCGAAACTGTGAATTTTTTATTAATAACGAACAATACGAAAATACTATTAACAGAAAACAAATCAATTCGTAGCATTATCTTGGTCCCATATGTGTATATCTAAATATTAATATAAGCAATTTTTAAACGAATGAGAGCTAAAATTTTCATTTGTCTTTAATTAATATGTAACACTAAACTTTCTCGACAATTTGTTTACCTGTTACTAATCACCATTATTCATATAACCAGTTATTTAATTGAACAATATTTATAATGATAATCGTCATAAGAAAAGTAACAACAATGAATGCAAAATATTCGTAAAAAATTGAAAATTAATTTTAACCGATCGTGGTAGACAGCGTAAAGGTCACAAAATGGCATTGAAAGATTGAAATCTTTCGCAATCAAGCTACGAACCGTTTTGATTTCCTTGCAATAATAGTTACAGAAAAAAATTAATGATAGCGTGAATTGATTGAAATATTATTTGTTTACGAGTCTCATAGTATGCATATGTGTAATGTATATTTGTGTGTGTGTGTGTGTGTGTGTGTGTGTGTGTGTGTGTGTGTGCTGATATAATGTGTGCGATTCCAAAAATCGCAAGAAGCTCGCGCGCAGTAATGAGAGAGAAAATAGATAGATATATATAGAAACAGAGAGAAAAAGAGAGAGAGAGAGAGAGAAAGAGACGGTTTCTTGTCTTTTCTCTTTTTCTTTAATTAGGAAAATGAGGGAAAAGAAAAAAGAGAGTTATGAGTTACGTACCGGGCAAATTGTCTCCGCCGCCGAGCACAAACTGTCGTACTAAACAGAAACGGAAAAAATCATATCTCGTTAAAGTCAACTCTGAAAGCACGGTTTCGCTCGCCCCTTATTTTTGCCGACCCAACACAGGAGGCACATTCTTTTTTTGTCTTTTTACATTCATTAATAATATGTGTACATATATACATATGCATGTGCGTACATATGTATATTAACAAACTTACAAAAATACATATGCACACACACGAATATATATTTTAATTCCGGGCTCGGTTACGAGAATCGTTATGTTCGTTTTGTACACGAGAAATAAATACATTTAGCAATACACACCCGCCATATTGTCATACATTGTGAATTACGCGGGAGATTTAAACGCAAAAAAAAGCATGTCGAGATGCATGTTTGCAAAATAATATAATCCGAATAATTAATTTAATAATAATAGTAATAATAATTAATTTTTCTTTCTTCCGTCAATGAACAATTACTGAACAATTTACAAAAAGAAATGAAAAATATTGTTATTTTATTATACCGATACATAATATTATTACCTTGAATCTATTTTGCATAGAATATAATTTTGTTGCCGAATGCATCGATTATTTATTTATTTATTTAAATATTCGCCGACAATTGTTCGTATAAGAAATAAAGAACGTTAGAACGTAAAAGATGAAGGATAAAGCGTAACAAAAGGACGCCGTCAAAATGAAAAATGTCTTAAATAAGGGGAGAGCGATTTTCGTGTTTTTATTTTACACGCTACTTGCCTTCATGATACTTATAACATATATACGGTAGATCGCGAGGGTGAGGGGAGGGGCTTCGTTGCCGAAAACAAACGTACATATAGTAATAGAAAGAGTATAAAATTCGAGGAATTTATTTTTCATGCGGTATTAAAAGACTTGTAAAAAAGTGGATGCGAGCTCGCAACGAGGAGAGAACGAAAAAAAGAAAAAAATGGATAAAGCGAGAAAATAACACGTAATACATATACATATTTTTACTTGCAAAGTAATTAATTGAGATCAATTATTTTACTTTTCTTCGTTTTTTTTCTCCTTATTTCTTTCTTTCTTTTTTTTTCTTTTTTATATTAATAATCTCTTTATCGACAACAATTATTATTCTCTCATCGGAACGAACAAAAATTAATTATCATAATTATATTACAATAATTCTAGCCATCATAATGACCGTAAAAATTGTCTTGTCTAATTTTTCTTGTCTAACTAAACACTTTAAGGAGTTTGGACAATAACTAAAGAAAAAAAGATATCTCATAGATATAAAAAAGTGGAGAACTAGGGTTGTCCGAGGAGAAAATAAGCGACGGGTATGAGATATAAACGGTGAAGAAGTGGATAGGCCATGAGACTGTGTGTGCAAACAGGGAGGTCAAGATCAGGGTTCATGGTATATATCGGATTACGACGAACAAAAATAAAAAACAAATAACTTTGAAGAAGCTTATCGTACTTTGAAATTGTTATATCGTGGAAGTATAACTCTATTATCATTTTCATTACAACTATTAGTATTATTATTATCATTACTGTTTTAATTGATGCTCCTGTTGGAAACGAAGAAACTAGTAAATAAAAAATAATAAAAAATAACAAATAACGATTTCCAGGAGACACAAATAGAGAAAGAGTGAGAGAGAAAGAAAAAGAGAGAGAAATAATTGGAGAAAACGGATAAAAAATTAAAAAAAACGAAAAACGGAAAAATAGCAACCAATATGACGACAGTTCTCGTTCATTGACCACGATTATCATTTTCCATGATTGTATTTTCGTTCTCACTACAATGAAAGGCGCACCGACCCAGCCCACATACAACTTCAACCCCATGGCCTACTCACCTATCCTTCTCTTTCTTTTTTTTTCTCGTCGCATGTGCTTTTTCATCCGCCTTTTTTGAGATCAAACTCAAGGTTGAGGGTTCATTAGTATAATTTAATAGTTTTTTCATTTTGACCAATATAATTATTTATTATTCGATCGTAAACCGTATACCGGAATCGGGAAATTTGAATATAAAATTGATTTTTCTTTTTAATTTTATTTCCTTTTCTTTCCGTTGTTAAAACAAAGTCGTAGGAATGAATTATTTATTTATTTAGCACTTCATATTCACGATATATCATGATGAGATCGAATCGAGAAAGTATAAAGTGATTACGATCTTTTTTTTTGCAAAGAATCGATAATAGAAGCCCCATCACCCGGACGTGTTTAAAACGCGCGGATTATAAGTATATATTTAAAAATATAACATTATTTCTAATTGGTTTTTACACCTAAATGCTGCGTGCAATAGCTTTTCTATTTATCTTAGAATTCAACTCCTCAGCGTTTATAGCCACTGCTCCCTCATGGCCAAAAATTCCATTCTTTTTTTTTTTATTCTTTCTTTTTTTGCAGTTCTAAATGAAAACTTTATAGTGTCGTTTATATCTATCGAATGCGAGATTAATATGATGCATTTTGTTTTTTTTCTCGGCTCTCTCGACAACTTACCAGTGATGTTGTCGCAGAGTATCCGAGAAGTAATGATCCTTCCGTAAGGATTGAAAAGATTCTCTAAATCCGACTGCGTCATGTTCTTCGGCAAACCGCTCACGTAAAGGTTCGCACCTTTGATCGCTTCACTGCTCGGTCTCGCGTACGATACCTGATAAAAGTGAGGCTTTAGTTAATAAGTGAAAAATTATCAAAATATAGATAATCTTGTCTGAGGCTAGTAAATTCAAACTATATTACTAATGTATTTTTTCTGGACTGACCTTGATCGTTTTATTTTGAAGACGAAGACCATTAAGCGTATTTATGGCCTTCTCAGCATCTTCAGGCCGATGATAGTTAACGAAGCCATATCCTAAACTCTGACCTACAAGTAAAGAAATAAGTGTGATTATTATTAAAAAATGCAATTCATAGAAAGAGTGTATCTGTTTCAGTTTCTGTACCACTAAGATACAATAAATACAGAATGATGCAATAAACTATGCTAACGTTTTAAATATGAATGATAACAAAATTATATCCTTCAGCTAAGTAATATACGAATTTACAAGAGGTGAGTAGTTAAGATATGGAAGAAAAATTTAATCCGTAAATAAGACTAACCAAATATTGATTTTTAAAGTACAGAAAGTGATAAGAACGGATAACTACGAGCATTATTGTAAAAAAAAAAAAATAAACTTTAAAAACAGATCAAATCTTACTCTCATACTTAAACTACTCGTCTCTTGTGAATTCATATATAACCTCGTTATTTCTTAAAACTGCTAGTTTTAATATACAATAAAATTTGTTTTATATGACTTCCCAAAAACGTCTAGTTATTTCGAGTAAAATCTAGGGTTTCCACGATTTAATTGAATTATACAATTTAATGCTAGCATATATACAGGATGAGCAAAAAATATATGATTTCAAATTTTAGAATCATGTTTCTCGATATATAGTGTGAATAAATTATTTCTATGGATATTATGTTTACAACGCTTTATTATAAAAATAATGAAAATAAATATAAAAAAATGATAATTAGTAATGATAAATAGTATCAAATGATTCTTCATCATTTGATACTATTGATTTGTAACAAGTATTTTAAAAAAGCGATGCTTTTATAACTAATAAAATTATTTAGTTCAAACTTTATATCGAAAAACGAATTCATAAAATTTGAAAACATATGTACTTTTGACTCACCGTATGTATATATATACACAAATATATGGGTATATATCGTGCGCAAAAACGATGACGTGAAATTACAAAAAAAAAAACACACACACTTCCACCCACATTTGATACGGTCCTGCAATTTTACACGCAGTGAGGTCAAGCATAAAGCGGCAAAGCTTCAAACCAAATGACGCCCCCGCTCTTTACTTGCCAAAAATAGAGACGCAACGTATACGCACGTTTTTATTTTATCTATTTATCTATCCATGTATCTATCTATCTATTTATCTATCTGTCTATCTTCCTATTTTTCTATTTATCCATTCATCGATTTATCTATTTTTTTCATTATTTTTCCATCTTATTGCACAAAATATTAAAGATTTGTTAATCTTTTTTTCTCCGCATAAACGGTGTGATATAAAATTATACTTCTTTCCCTTATAATTTTTGTTACAATTCATCGAAGTAACAACAACGATGCTCACAACCACTACCCTGAAATAATAGTCACTATTCGTGGAAGAGGATTTATACAACGTTTCGCGTATTTATAATCGTCCAAGTTTATAAGCCATGTCTTCATCCTCTATTTAGCGAAATAGATCTACTAGCGGGTAAAGAAGCCAATACTTTGTGTGTATCTCTCTCTCTCTCTCTCTCTCTCTTGACGCCCAAATTACGTCATCACTTTGCAATGAAGACGATCTTCCTTGCTCTTTTCCTTTTTTTTATTTTTCTTTATTTATTTTTTTTTTATTTTTTATTCAAATTATAAGCAGAAAGAGTAAGTGAACAATTACACACAACCGCGTTAGAAATTTTTTCGTAACATTAATAATCATTTTACTAAGGAACGATAAGAAAAAAAAACACTAGAAATGATTCGTTTTAAAAATACGTCTATTAGCACGTTCGCGAATAGGAGAATTCTAATGATATTTGCAATTACTATTATACGCCTACGTGATTGTTAAACTGTTCTGTCTATTAGTTATAATCGATAAAACTTCAGCCAAATCGATTTTATCGTGAGAATTCGATTAGAAAACGTAGAATAACAGCTGTTACTGACAGGTGTTCTCTTTCTTTCTTTCTTTCTTTCTTTCTTTCTTTCTTTCTTTCTCTCTCTCTAACACACACACACAACTTTCTCTCTCTTTCTCTTGTTTTCCCTTCTCCTCCTTCATATATATATATATATATATAGCGATTTTTAATCAATTGTCTAGCTCTAGCATTTGTAAAACTAGCAACTCACGATGCATTGTTGTTTTAACGATTTTAAAAGAAATTAGATATGGAACGTATAAAGAAATATAAATATTTGTACATACATATGCAATGCATAAACATATTTATAATTATATATTTACAAGAGTAATTATGAAATTAGCGTTAGTAGAAACAAAATCGGGAGAAATAGAATTTTTTAATTAGTTTTTTGTTACGTCGAATTACAATAACATTAATAAACTATGAGATAAGTAATTATATATATAATTTTGTATATTTATATGATTTATAAAATATAGTTCATAGTTCATTTATATATAACAGACTACTTAATAATAACCGATTGATTTAAATTTCTTACCGGTAAGTTTGTCGCGGATAAGCTTGCAGCTCTCGACTTCTCCTATACTCGAAAAAAGAGAACGGATCTCATCCTGCGTCATACTCTGAGGCAAATAATTGACGATGAGATTCGTTTTCGACTCCTCCTGGGATGTCTGTCCGAGGGTGGATCCTCCATTTTGTTGTACAACGGTGTCCATTCCGTTCGCCATCATTGCACTCTTCTGAGGGGTCGTCACTAACTACGTACGAAATCTAAAAAAATAGAGAAAGCAGAACAATTCAAATTGATTATACAAAATAATTTGATCTATCGATCTTACGACTTCCAATAAACTGATCTCGCTAAAAAAAGAAAAAATATATAAATATATATGTGTATTCCAAATCCTCGTTATTCCAATGTCATCTGTTAATACACTTTTCGTTAATTCGTTTTTTTTATTCTTCCTTTTACGGGTTTGAGCTATTTATCTATTAATATATACCTTCTCACACACTTATTCAATACTACCCAGAGAGGTCGCGTCTTATTCATCTCTCTGGAGTCAACAGCATACGATTTATGTCTTTTGTTTTTCCGGATATATTACGAATCGTGCCCAACGTGGCTTAACTTTGATGTTCATGCCAAGATCTAGTAATTCAACATGACTGGACCACTCACCTGTCCTTAATTGTTCAATTGTTGTTAATAAAATTATTCATTAAAAATTATTCACTATAATTTTGACGCAAAACAATTTTAACTTATTTACTTACATATAATCGATTTCGACGATGCTCGTTAATTAATACGAATAAAAATGGTTGAAAAAGTCAATCGAGTGTGACTTAAGAAAAAGGATAAAAATTTACTTAAATTTCTAAGATGTTAGAGGATCGTGACTTCTTCGAGTAACAATATCAATTGCGCGACACGATAGTTTGAAGAAGAAGAAGAAGAATATGAATATAAGTACACACAAGCATCGCGTAGCAACGCCGAAAAAAAACGTAAAATTAAATATAAACACGAAGAGAGGGAAACGAAAAAAGAAAGAAATAGAATAAATAGTTTGTTGTTCGACAATACAACCAACTATGAGGCAATACGCGAAGGACGAGAAAACCAACAAGCTAAACTAACCAAAACACGAATACACGGAGATGCAGAAAATCGTTTAGAAACCATCGTCCATTGGTTTTCTCGTTTTTACCCTTATCTATAATTAAGAAAATAAATCTATTAAATCTAAATATCTATAGAAAAATATTTACATATATGAGAATAAATATATTATAATAATATAATATAAAAGTACGAAAGAAAACGATATTAGAATTAGAATGAATACATGAATATAATATATTACATTTTTATTTTAAATATTCTAGATGACGGTTCATGACTCATTTAGTCGCTTGAAGAAACGTTTTATTTATTAAATGTAGTATAATCGAAAATATTTTTCGTTTGACAAGCATCAACGGTAATAAATACGTATCATTCGAATTATTTATTTCTAACTAAAGTAAATATTTATTTTATTTCAATATTTTTATGTCCTTAAATTTATTCTTTATACAATACATTCATCACACTAATTGAATGTGATTTTGGATGGCTATAGTTATGGAATTGCTTTGTGTGCAAAGTGATTTCTGACATTTAAAGGTCATTAATAATTCTTGATATAACTCTATGTAAAGAGTGTTAATATTGATTAAATATCTTCTTATACTTGAAATGGAAAAAAGAACAGAAAATTGATAATACACGTACTTTTAATAGTAACTATTCAAATATATGTCAGTAGTTATTATAATAAATAATAACTAAGAAAATATATAAATTATTGTTAATATGATATTGATAATTAATAATTACAGATTATTATTATAACAATTATAGCTGTTAAATCAGACATAAAAAGCGTCGGCCTAGTTGTACGGTCGGAAACGACCTTAGACTGTCAAGCGCTATTCGAAATACGCGCCGCAGCATTAAGACGTCACGCCACTTCCCGAAAAGAACGAACGAACAATGGGTGCGGGAACGCGCGCATCCCCCACTAAAATCTTTGTTGCGAGCGTCTTGTTGGGCAGAATACCAGAAAAAATCGGTCTATTCTTCCGCTGGACGCCTGCGACTATACGCCTAAAACGAGAGAGCGAGAGGAGTTTAAGACGATACGAGAGAGCGAGAGGATTTAAAACGATTTACGAAAGCGAGAGGAGTTTAAGACGACTCACGAGAACGAGAGGAGTTTATTCACGAACACATTAATTTGGTGAAATCACCCCTTATACCTATCTAAACACGAACAATAGTTCAACCACGTGCGTCGCCGTGGTTGATCACCACTAATTTAAGCAAATCATAACCAGGGTTCTTATCACGGAGACTAGATATCAGGAGGGCGATCGACATAGGAAATTGTACAGTCAACGCGACTGGAAAAAAAAAGGAAAGATCATTTTCGTAAATACGCCGCTAGGCTTCGTTATGTTCGCTAATGTCAGGTTTATAACGTCATGGCATCATAGTGTCATAGTGTCTACTTTATATTTTTCATTGACAATTGTTGACAATACTGCATCATTAAAAATTGTATAAATGTTTTTTTAATTTATAAAAAGTAATATTTATTTAAAAATGGTAAATAAATGTATTGTTCATAGGTTTACAAGTGGACAAGTCAAGGATCGTAATAAGAATGCTAAATTAAATCAGAGAAATACGTCTTTATTCACTGTACCACAGGTAATATAACCTTAATTGATAGTTATTAATTACTAATATAAAAAAAATGCAATGATGCAAATGGTAAAATGTTTAGTCTTGTAAAAAGTGCAATTTACGATAATAAATTACAATTTACTTTTAATTGGACTTTTTAAATTTAGTTTTCCATCCTTTACTCAACTGCAACTAGGTAAAATGAAATTCAATAGATTTACACAACAAGTTGACGATAATATCTTGGGAATAATTGTAAAATAATAAAAAATATTTTCTTATTGCTATTTTTAACGTTAATTATAAGATTTGATTAATTTATTTTGACTAACGCGTGAGTACAATTGCTACATTCCCGCGACAATAAACAAGGTTTTAAAAACCTGACATTAGCCACACTAACGCGCTCTAGTGGCAAAAGATCTGTCCCCTCATTTTCGGACACTTGCGATACATTCTGATCGCCCTCCTGTTATCTAACCTCCGTGGTTTTTAACCCACGAGGGTTTTCCCTGACGAGCCAATAAAACATCACACTGCCTATTGGCTCAACCACGTGTTTAATTCTTTGTTAATAAACCCATTATTTTCCTCATCCCTAGCAAACTAATTACCGGAAGACTCCATGTTGAAGAAATCTGCGTAACACTAGTGCTACAATGGCTTTGGAGTTCCAGCATCATACGAAAAATTGATTATTTATTATTAATTGGCATTAGGAACTCGAAAGTTCATTGCCGCAAATACCAAATCCCGCCATTGTAAAAAAAAAAAAATGATAGTACTAAAAAGAACCAGAAAATATGTTGTACGAGCAATTCCTTCAAAAACCATGTTATGAAAAGCGTCAGTTTTTATTTTTAGTTTATTTATTAATTTTTCAAATCAGCTACTGTATAATTTTAACAAAAATTTAAAATAAAAAAAAATGATAAAAATACTGAAAATTAAGTGGTAACACCACTCTAGAGCCTGAAAAAAGCTTTTTTTGGGAACTTTTTTTTGCGAACACTAAATGAGGAATAGAATTTTTTTTTTTGAGGATTTGTTAATCATATATTGAACTATGTAAACAAATATTTTTATTGATTTTAGATACAAAATGTATCTATACGCCACGGTATTCGTGGCTGAACAAAACCCTGTTTTTTTTTTGGCTAAAACGGGCGGACTCATACCTGGACAATTATGAGACCTAGAATAAAAAATAAAAGAAATTATTAATCTATGAACTACTATCTTGAGAAGTACATACGAATTTTTCCCTAAGTCGAATTCTATGAAAATGGCGGAACTTTGAATTAAAAAATTGACTTTTCGACGGAAAAAAATGTAGAAAATTGTTTATAAAATTAAAAGTTTATATTCAATTAAAAATCGGATATGTACTTCTGTAGAAAATATAACTATCAAACTATTTTCAAAATTTCAAGTCAATCGGTTAAATGATGCTCGAGTTCTGAGTCCGCCCAGTTTTAAAAATGTAGTTTCGAGAAAAACGCGTTTAAAGTTTTGTTATTACTCTATTCGAAGCGCTTTGAGGCGCTTCGTAAAAATAAAATTTCGCCATGTTAAACATTTTTTTTTGCTTCAGGACCAAGTACATAATGTTTTTAGATGTCTAAAGTACACTTTAAGCTAAAAAAAAATCGATTTTTTGAAAATTTTATAGTGGTGTTACCCCTTAAACTAACTTAGATAATGGGGAAGACTCATACCTTTGAGCCAGCCCTATTTATAATTTAGCCCTATATCAAGCTTATACAACAACTGTCTCTTCAAATTTTACATCGACCGATAATAATTTCCACATTATTTATAAATAACATTTGTCTTCTTCTACGAATGAAGAGGGAGACAAAAAAAGGGAAAAAAAGTGAAATGGCGATTCGATATTTCAATTCAATTCAACAATGACTTCCAAAGAAACGGAGATCGTAAAGAACGAACGAGCTGTATTGATGTTAAAAGAAGTCGAAGAAAAAGGCCCAATAGGAGACTGGATAATTTAAAGGGGCAATGAACCGTCGACGTTTAAAGGACTGGGGCTCCTTGGGGTAACCGCTCCCTCCTGCTCTTTCTACTACCAGCCACTACTACCACTAAAATCGTAAGTGCTACGTACTTATCTACGGGGTGTCTAATACGTATTGACTATAAAAAAAGTACTCAAAAAATACAATAATTAAAATTAGCAAATATATCATTGAAATGATAAAAACAATATGTAAATTCATAAAAAAGAAAAGTTTAAACATCATTATAAATATTAACCAACCAACATATATGTATACATAAAAACTTATAACATCATTATTAATACGAAAAATACTTAATACCATTACTTGCACTTTTGTTCATTTGAAATAAATAAGTAATGTAAAACGTAAGTTAACTGATTTCATTAACGAGCTAGAGAAAAATCAATTTACATGTGAAAGTTTTATCAAAAAAAGACACCCGGTAGATGAGTGAGAGAAAGGGATTTACTTACGAGGGGTTGAACAAAAAAGAGAGTAGGAGAAAAGGGAGAAGGAAAAAAGGAACGAATGAAAGAGAGGTAGAAGGGAAGGAATAACGCAGTAGCTCTGGCCCTATATAGCAGTGTTTTCAAAACTTTCATTATTCGAATCCTCAATTTAAACATTTTACCAATCCTGGCTTATCTTTTCTTAGATAAAAACCATCTAAAACAAATTTTAATTAAAGTTATCCGAGAAAAAAATATTATTTATTATTAAAGTACTTATTGTTATAAAGAATTAAAGGGTCCACTCTAGTGTTCGGAAAAATAATCTATTTTGGATATTATGTATTTACTATATGGAGTTTTAAACGCTATGAACAATTTTGCGCGAAATTTTACATCGGAAGTTTTCATTTCACCATTTCAATAAAAAACGACATTTTAAAAATATTTCGTATACTTGAATATATATAATCGTTTGTAGAACTGAGAAATATGTAGTTTTTTCCAGGTCAAAAATTGGAGCAGAAATCTTACCGACAGGAAATACTATTTTCTGGTTTTGGATAGAGCAAAAGAAAGAAAAAGAATTTCAAGACATTTTTGTTAAAAATATATTTATCAACTAAATTCAAATTAATAATTAATAAGCTTTATTTCTTCACTGATATATCAACTTTCTTTTTATCCTTGTAAAAACTGTTATCATGCGTACCTACTCTCATACCTTATACTCGTCCGTCTCGTTCCTTCTCGTTCTCCTTTGCATCAAATCACTCTTCGCGCTCAGCGCTTCAATTTCTAAATCGGCTACATAATTGAAAATTGCTAATTCTTAAAAAATCGAGATTTTCAAGTGAAAGAAAAAATATACAAATAGAATCGTATTATCTAATTCTAATTCCGATGTTGATAAACGAAACAATAATGTTAGAAAATAATGCATCGATATTGATATTAAAAAGATTTGTTAAGAATAAGGTTATTGAAAAAAAAATCGAAATTAATAATGCCAAAGAGAATGGAGTTAAGTATATTTATAACGAAGAATTTAGGATAATAAAAAGTTATTCCCACAGAGAATTTCTGTAATGTAATGCGATAGATATCAGATTTTCAGTAAATTCTATATAACCGTGCCCATATACTGGTAACGTGGCTCATTGGGAATTTACATACCACCCAAAGTAAAATGAAAACCCTAAAAAAAAGCTTATACATACAACATGAGGGTGAATTACCGATTGAGAGACACTGCTATATAGAGTGTTGCATGTAAAGAGAAATGAGTATGTATACACAGCTGCTACGGCATATATGTATATCAACCGACGGTACGAGCTACTAAGGTATATTTTAATTCCCTCTTCCTTTCTTTTTCTATCCTTCTACATCGCCGTTGCAACTTCTCTTCTACAGTCCTCCCCTACAGTCGTCGTCCACCCCCTTCTTTTTCCCCTCCCCGCGACCCACCTCGATCGCTCTTCACTGCCTCGACAAAGTATACGACTGTCAGCTGTCCTTAGAGTCCCTTCATACAGAACTCGCATAAATATATGAATGCACGCATACAACCGAATCGAAGTAGTCACTAGCACATTTTAGTAGCCACCCCAAATGAGCTGTCCACGGCTTCCTAAGAGTAATAGATAGATAGATTCTATTATGTTCTCAGAGTAATAACGATTCCCATGGTTTTCGAAGGTTCTCAAGCTAGGAACATAGTTAATTTGGATTAAATGCAAAAAGCTTTTAAAATTATACTTGAAAAAATTTGAGAGAACCATTTTTGCCAGTCAATAGCGAGTGCTTTCGCGTTTAGATAAGATTGAGAACCACTGTAAGACAGGGCAGCTACTAGAACAATATACGGCAAAATGAAAAGCGGTAAAGAGCAAAAGCGATAATATAAAAGAGTTGTATTGTACTTGCTCGATGGGCAATTTCTTCTTTTTTTTTTTTCTTTTCTTTCATTGAAAGGATTAAATCTATCGAATGTAGACGATATAGTTGTATAAACTATCTTGAATATAGATCATTTAAATAGTAACATTGTAATTTTCAACCAAAATGTTTTTTGAAAACGTAAGAAAAAAATAAAAAATCACATTCAAGTCAATCGTGTTCACAGAATAAATCTCAAATGTTCAATTCACTTACCAAAATTTGAAATAAAGGGAAAATTATATAATATAAAATATAAAATTTTGTAAAAAGTATCAAAAAGTTGGCCAGAAAATCTAATCAAAATTGTGCTACCTACGATCATCGATGTCCGATAATATTCATTCGGAAAACATAGGAGTAGAACGCAAAGAGCAAAAGCTAATTCGTAAAATCGATCAAAATTTCAATCAGCCAACTAACAAGTAGTAGAAAAGTGAGGTTATGTGTATAACTCTAATTATAGAGACACGACAGGAAACTAAGTGACACACTGCAGGTGGTTTAAACGATAACCTAACGTTTTCTTCCTAACTAATATATAACGACGAAAGGAATAAAAGGGGAAAGAACTCAAACGTATTTGCACAAAAAAGTTAACGTGTGCGTGCGTGGGAGTTTCCGCGTGGTGAAAATAGTATATACATATACATATATATATATATATATATATATATATATATGCTATGGCCAAGTTTTATCGCGGCACCGCATCTTCGTCGTTATCGATTGACACGAGCCTACTCACCGACGCGCGTATTTTAGGACTTTTCCACAATGGAGGCCGACAGAGATAGATAGAGACAAAATTTGTACATCATGAGAAAACATTATAGTTCGTTGCTTTGACTTCAAAACGGCGAATACTCGGCATGGATACAGCAATATTGTTTTGTTCATCCAGTGAAACAATAAATACAATATGGACTAATTTCATATATGAAGGACGCAGTGTACGCATACATACACACATACAATATATAAATACAAAGTTCATGCAAGGAGTTGCAACCTCTTTTGAGATATACTACACAACTATGACGTCGAGCATTACTTTTTCTGTTATAATTCAAACGTGTTCAAACACTCTGCATTTTAGCTACTTACTTTATAAAAATATAATTATTCCATGGAAATTTTTATTACATTTTTCTTTCGTAGAATTAGATATTCTTTTGAGTACAAATTTCTCAATAAACATTAGCTTTTTTATACTACACAATTATATAACCGCAGACTTGAACTACATCAGGCGAGATAACTTCCATATTTCTATCATAATTAATCTTTCTATCCAATAAAATCCTTATATACAAATATTGTTTTCATAGAATATTTATAAGTTATAAATGAAATTATTAATACACAACGTTTAAAAATGATATGAACAAAGAAAATATGAAAGAGAAATATGAAAGAAGAAAAAGAAGTAAAAAAAGTTTAAAGAAAAAGTAAGTATAATAAAATAGTAATGATTTATAGTAATAACGCGAAGCACGTGGAGGGTTTATTTCTGAAGGGTTAAAGTTCGATTTCCACAAACGTCGGTAGATACGATCTTCGGCCGCTGGCTAGGTGGCCATGGCGACGGATCATGAAAATTGCGTGGCTGGGACCGATCAATACGAGCGCTGCTACAACGTCTCCGCCCCTCTTAGCAACCCACCCTCCCGTTAGCCGTACAGCTCCCCTTTTATGTTCTTCTATCACTCCCTTTCTCTCTCTTGTTCATTTAACGTGAGCACACTATGGAGAGCGAGCGAGATGGAATTAAAAAAAAAGAAAGAAAAGAACTACTTCCACCCAAGCAGCAGTACACATACACGTACACATACACACATTATATATGACGACATACATGAGTGCGTTGACACGCAGCAGCAGCAGTAGCGCATTCAGAAGGGGAAAGAAAGAAAAAATACGGTAGGGGGGAGGTAGGACTCGCATTAAAAAAGATAAAGATAGAGATAGTGTGTGTGTGTGTGTGTGTGTGTGTGAGAGAGAGAGAGAGTGATGGCAGGAGCGAGGGTTGAGAACTGACGCGTCGACGTTCCACAAAACTTTGCGCGGCACGTGCTTTTTCAATGTTTTAGAAGGAAAGAAAAAATTGCATAAAAAAAATACTCGCGAAGAGAAAGAGAAAGACATAGAGAAACGAACACATTTGGTTTTATCTTCTTACCTGTCCTTCGTTCACCTTTCTCACACACTTCCAAAAATATCCAGTATTTTCTTGTTATAATTTTGTGTCTATGTTGCTTTTTCGATACGTTTCTTTTCTTTCGGTCCCTCTCTCTCTCTCTTTTTTTATTATTTCTCTATTTATTTTCCTTTCTTTCTGTTTCCTTCTGTAATTTTTTTACATTATTTGGCGTCGCACGCGACCATTAAGAAATAAATAATAATCTTACAAAATCTTTTTTTTTCTCTTACTTATATATTATCTTTTTGCTTGACACTCTCTTAACTCTCGTTCTAAAGAAAAGTTAGAAACTCGGTAGGTAAAATACAATAGTTACGTTCCTCTTTTCTTGGTTCTTGTTTTTTTTTCTCAAGTGCAGCGAGTCTTCTCTTATCACGCTCTTGCACCGCCGCCCGGAACGGAAGGAGAAATCAATGAAAGGAAAGTACAACGTTGCAGACGCACGTAAATCAACATTTATGATTCACCTTTCTTTCGGAATGATTTTTTCTCCCTATTTTTCTTTCTTTCTTTCACTCTTCAGAAGGAAATATGCGTAAATTAAACACACGTCCACCACGCAACGATGACCGACGATGGCAATGACGACGACGACGACGACGACGACGACGACGACGAAAACGAAAATTGACGTCGTATCACGATCATTCGTCTTTTCCTCTATTCCAGAAGGAAAGGAAAGATGTAAAGAAAGAACAAGGACATAGAAAGAGAAAGAACTAGCGTATAAGTCTTGTGTTAACGTGTGTATGTACTATGTATATATATATATATATATACATATGTATACATATTATACATAGTATATATATATATATATATATATATATATGATGTGTGAATATTCTTTCGACGCGTATGCACTCAGTATATATATTTGTGTATGTACGTGTGTCTAATTTGTTTGTATCGGTTAGTTCAAAAAGTGGGAAAAAGAGAAAGCGAAGGATTAGTGAGAATAGGCGGTGATGGAAGGATCTCGCGAGATAAGAAATTAAAGCGTTAAATACTAGACTAAGGAAACAGAAGAAAAGACGCGTTACGGGCGGAGGCTACCTAAAGACTGAAAACACACGTCCCTTCGCGATCGGCTCGTAATACGACTCGAACGAGACAGTACGCGCTCGGCAATACTCGGCATGCTTCGTTAATTCCTTTATCGACCACGAGAGAGCGACGGTAGGAACGCGAACGACGCGACGACGAGAACGACGCGACACACATGCGCGTACGTAAAACCCTTCTTGTATGACACGCGACGCCATGATTCGCTTCGCTCGTTCTTCTCACTTTTTTTACTCTTTCCCTTACAAGAAAGGGTTCGCGATATCGTACCTTAATGAGAAAGAACGTTGAAGTTACTGACGCCGGTTATTTTCTTGAAACATTACTTCTACGTGTAAAATTTATATGCTATAAGAAGATTCATATTCAGCTTGTATATACAAAACCGCTATAAGGCCTATACTGACATACACGGCAGAAATAAGACCCGAAACATCAAAAACACGCCAAATCATGAAACAGCTGAAATGAAGATAGTTCGCAGAATAGCTGGGAAATCACTATGGGACAGAGTAAAAAGCGATGACTTCAGAAAAGCATGCCAGATCAAAAATATCAACGACTGGGTATTAAGCAGAAAAGTTGAGTGGAAGGATCACATCACGCGCATGACAGATGACCGAATGGTCAAAATATCCCGAGATAAGAGACCTCGAAAGCGCTGGAACGTCAGTCTAACTATATGAAGCGAGTCGTGAAGAGGAACAGGCATTGTGCTTACTTGGAAGGAAGAAGAAGAAGAAGATCCACCAAAAGAAAAGAAATAAAAAAATAACTAATGGGGCTCGTGCAAAAAATTAAAACAGTTGAGCTGGCTGGCTGGACCTGCTTTCCCTGCGATTTCTTTAATCATTAAGTTATCTGTAGCTCCTAGATCAACTTTTCTCTATGAATGCCTATTTATTTGAATTAGAGGTGCTCGTTTCCATTGTTCCAATTGTAAGATGGTATATCGCCATAACAAAGGCAATTAATATGAATTTTCAAAAATCCTCTTCGTTATTATGACATTAATTTAATGTTTTATTACTATAATAATTAATTAACAAGTAATGATTAAAAAGTTTGAAAGAATTGATCCCTTACAAATACATATGTATATGTGAATATCCCTCTATCGTATGTTATTGGAAAAAGGAGTACGTTCTTTTCGAAGTCCTTTGCTCCTCTTTGTACTCTTGCTGTAGATAACAACCACCTCTTTACGGTTTTTGATCCAGCTTCACTACCCTATCACATCAAGATAAGGGTCCTTCTCGTTGAACCTTCCTACTAGGATCCCAAATGAGTTCTCTCGAAATAACACCCTACGTTATTTTTAAGGATAACGTGTAACTTTCAACGTCTAATTATCAGAAATATGACGTTCAAGACTTTTTTTCTTTTTATTTTTGCCTCATACGTTACATTATTCTCGTTTGGAGTTACAAAATGAAAATGAAATAAAGAAAATGAATAAAAATAAAAGAAAGAAGAAATGATTAACACGTTGCCGCAAATGACGACTATAGCCGTCCGATCTTTGTGTTTCTGAGCACAATCGTCAAATTAAAAGTGTGCGGTAACGTGTTAACTATTTTTTTTATTTTAAACATTTAAGATAGATAGTAGTATTCATTTTAGAGAATTATTAACGATTTCCATTACATTTAGATTCTATTACATTTAGATTTTCGTTCGAATTTTTAGATCCTACTTCTTGTTTGTGGAGAAAAGCAAATGAACTTTTTAATGCTCATAAAAATAAGTTCACCTGCAAAGAACACCTTACTTATATCCTACTTCCTTTTCTCCCTTCTAAGTTGGATTATGTTCCTGCTCCAATTTACTCCATCGGTTCACCGATCTCCACTTCCGTTTGGACACCTTTTCAAATCTTGGACATGCCACACACGGTGTCGCCTTTCGTTTCGTCCTGCGAGACATTTAGCATAGAGTTTCTGGAGATCATCCAGTTTTGCTAATTTTTCTTTTCTTTCTATTCTTTCTTTCTTTCTTTATACCAATACATTGTTTTCGTCTTTTACCGAATAAACGTGTATTACTGATGACTTTAAAAACGCTTGACTCTTTTTATTGTTTTTTTTTTCTCAAAGATCTGAAAGTAGTTTCTTGTTAGGTACAGTAATACTTTTTATTAGGAAAAGAAAATTATAAAAATAAAAAATCTGTAATATGGAAATCATAGATCAACCAAGTGAAAGTTTGCTCACGTATGACCTCAAACAAAAATTTTGCGTAGAAGTAAACTTTCTCCCTCTCTTTCTCTCTTTAAAATGATGACGAACCAAAATTATGCAGTACTGACGAAATGAACCAATAAAAATTTGGCTGCCGTGCCAATAACTATACTCCGAGAGTTGTTGGATATTTATTTCCGTTATCGCGTACCATGGAAGTTAAGTCGAACAGTAACTTTTTTTTTGATGATGCGTGATAATTTTGTCTTGAATAAAAGAAGCGGGAAAAATATAACGAGACACGAGAGAGCAGAACAACGAAGGTCTATAACGTTGGATTTGGAGCGCATTTTGATTATATTTTTATGTGAATAAAATTGTATTTTCTCGACAAAATTATAAATTAATTTACTTAATGCACTATAAATATTAATACATTTCATGTATGTTCGCTTATTATTTGGCTATTTATTTGTTACGATTACTCGTTACGTCTTTGATTCTCGTTAGTCGTAAAACTGTTAGGAAAGAATGATTCTATATTACTCTAGCTTTCCTTGCCTTTGTAAATCTCAAACTTATCCTAATCGATTCCTTAGATTGATATTTACAATATCATGATTTTCAAATAAAATCAGTGAATCTTTTTATATTGTTGAAAGTAATTTGATTCTTTTTTTAAAAAAGCTAGTACTTTATTCATCCAATTAATTTGATCGTTTTTTCAATTTATTATTTATTTAACGATTTATCGTTTCATAACACGATTTATCGTTAAATAAATAATAAATTGGAAAATTAATAAGTTGAAGAATCAATATAATCTTTATCTAATTCATTTAATTGTTATAATTTGTAAATATTTTCGAAAAGATAAAAATATAAAAATTTACAATGTTTTAAAAGACTAAAAAAATATCGTCATTTCTCGTGAAGGAGAAGATATATATATCTCAAAGAATGAATGCAAACGCTTGCTCTACTGGTTCGTCCCGTCTAGTCATGATTCAGCTGTTGTAATTTATATTTTTCGAGGGTTAGACCTTCGTAGCCGTCATCGATCCGCATTAGAAAAGGGACGGATGTAATTGCACGTCGACCATAGTTCGGTCAAAATTCTGTCCAGCTGTTCGAGGTTACTGAACTCTGTTACAGGGGCGAAAAAACTCGTTGATATTTCAACTAAATTTCAATCTTTTCGTCTCTATGTATATTAGCGTTAAATTATATAATTCAGTTAAATCAGGAAAATCCTAGGTTATACCCTAAATAACTAAACGCTTTTGCGAAAGCTTATCATAGAAATATGTTTTTAAACTAATAGTTTTAAAAAATAACGAGGATATATACGAATTCACAAGAGGCGAGCAAGTAAAGTATGAGATTAAAATGTGATCCGTCTTTAAAGTCTGCTTTCTTTCTATGACAATGCTCATAGTTATTCATTCTTATATCTTTCTTTATTCTGAAAACCAATGTTTTTTTAGTCGTGCTGCTCTACCTGATCTAATCTACGGATCAAATTTCAATTTCATACTTTATCTGCTTGCTTCCCGTGAATTCTTATATTATCTAATTGAAGTATGTAATCCTGTTTTCCTTTATATTTAAACAGATCAATATAGTTATTTCAGTGTTTAGCTAGTTTTTTCACGAATTAACGGGTTTCACAAAGTAACGCTTAACATGTGTATACATACACATAACTTGATGGAGAAGAACGCGAGGCTATTTTAAAACGGTAACCCAGCTTCAGAAGTAACAGTATTGAAGAAGTAAACAACGGTAACGACAAAATTGAAAAACATTAATGTTATATTACGCGTACACCGCTGATAAACGGCAAATTTTTCTATATAACAAACGGGAAATTACATTAAGAGAACGCTAACTTACTAATAAAAAATAGCTACTGATAAGATGAGGTATATACCATCGAGAAATTAAAGAATCGTATAAAAAACTGTCTAAATAAAAAAAAAGATACAAAATAGATATGTCTCTATATAGGGTGTTTTATAAATACATGTTCATATTTCAGGGGGTATATCCACATATTAAACAAGTAACAAAGCAATATAAAAATATACCCAATAAATTGTTAGTTTTCCAATTTGGGGTAATTAAAGAAAATGTTCCAAATATGCACTTTTTGCATCAATTATTTATATAAATGAATGAAAACATTCTATGATTCGGAATTCTACGTACCAGGAAGTTTTCTTATAATTAATATAGTCGACGTGAATTTAGTTCAGTTTGTCGGCACGGCCATAGATAAAATGCATGTTGATCATTTCAGCATGAGTATACAAAACTATGTTGTCAATTTCAGAACGCTATTGATTACTGCAAGAATAAGAAGCACCGACTACGCAAAATTTTGAATGCTGTATATGTCCATAGAAAATATTAATAAACATTAGATAAGATCAAGACATATTATATAGAACGTACAGTAGGTTGTACTGAGGCAAAAGGCGAGCTCTTCGAAATATTTAATTATCCATCCTTGATAACTAAGGAATATTAGACATATATTTATATGACACTCTTTACTTGTTTTAGTGTATAGATCTCTTTTGAAGTCTTGATATATGTACGTTTATGAAATATCCTGTATAAGTAGAAATAAGGAAGATGTCTATATTTTTCTTTTTCTCGTATGAAATTATCGAACGCTCTTAGGCTGGTTGGCAGACTTGAAAAGGGTAGTAAATCGATTAAGCAGTCACGTAACCGTCGCAGTACCTCGCGCTAATTACGAGCTAATCATTTTGCTTGATATTGCGTATCGTGAGAAATTCTTTCGTATAATTGTACGCTGAATATACAATATGTATCTACATTCTTAGTAGGTATGTGTGCACGAAAAAGTGTAAATAAAAATACGTTTGTA